TGCTGAATCACTGATATGTGTTAGTTTTGAGTCAAAGTTCTAAAGTTCAAGTTGAAACGGTTTATTTTATTTCAAGATTAGAGGTAGAGGTCTGCAAAAAATTTCCAAATAAAGCACGGGAAGGGTCGGTAACTGGTTTAATTTTGGACGGGAGCGGGCCGTCTATCAATATCGCTACTGACTCCCGAGCGAGCGAGCACGCGTATGTATGTGTGTGAATGTGACAGCGTGATGCTGCGTTTAGCTTGTTTGTTGCTGTGTGTGTGTGTTTGATGCTATGAGTGTGTGTCACCTGCTTGGTGCTTATGTGTGTGTGTTTGTGTGTTTATTAAGACAGCTTGTTATAGGCTGTCTGGACTCTTTAGCTGGTTCGGGTTAAACCTGGCAGAAGCGGGATTCAAAATGTAGTCCCGTCCTGCGCAGATCTCAAATCTGAGGTGAACTATCTGCTGCTGCTTTCAGTAGTATGGCAATAAATGTCAAGTAAAATGGCATTCAAACTCACGCTATTAGCATTTAACACTGAATAAAGCACATAAGCTGTACCTGAAGTGGCCGTTTCTAAAATTTAAATTTAAGGTGTTGGTTAAAACAAAAACTCGGGTGCTGATGCTTTTATATAGAACACGATTTAATCAGCCTTGTTGGTGTTTTCAATCTGGAAACATGCACTTGCGTTTGCTTTGATCCAGAAATGTCATACCTATTTGAACCACTGGGTGTAAATCTTACATACTGCACCTTTAAAACAGGTTACACACAGAGACACGCTGCCAATGCTTCATTTTATGCATCTTTATTCATAAAAAAAAATCATATTTTATTACAGCCACAAATAACATCAAAATAATACAGAAATGTATCAGTTGAAAAGACTGATTTACATATTAATGCTGCTGATCTTTGACAATCATTTCATATGAAAGAATGAAAATTTGTGTTCAAGTGGTCTCTGAAAAGAAACCGTCCGTTGTGTATGACATTAACACAGAGTCTCTGACATGAGAAATATCCATAAACTAACATAGTCCACAACAAAATGACTGCATAACTATCTGCTGGCTTTTGACACCTCATCCTAATGCACGGCAAGCTTAAAAATACTTCATTTCCAGTTTAAAAATAGCAAGGCTCCGACTTTTTCTTTGACCCTTCTAGAAATAATTACATGTAATATAAACATGTACAAAAAGACACGCTTACGGACAGACATACAGTACACATCCATGCATTTGCAGACACACAGCAAAGGCACACGACGTAAACAGACAGTTACAGACATGCACACGCGCTCCAGATCTGAAAACACACACTGACACTGCGGACAGAAGCTCACATGCACCTCAGCTACAAAGGCTTTTCACATTACGCTTAACATAAGGTTATTGTCATTCTAAACCCTGAGTTGGTCCATATATATACAGCTGAAGTCCGAATTATTAGCCCTCCTGTATATTATTTCCCCAATTTCTATTTAATGGAATGAAGATCTCATCAACACATTTCTAATAGTTTGAATAACTCATCTCTAATAACTGATTTATTTTATCTTTGTCATGATGACTACATAATATTGGACTAGATACTTTTCAAGATACTAGTGTTCAGCTTAAAGTGACATTTAAAGGCTTAACTAGGTTGATTAGGCAAGTTGGAGTAATTAGGCAGGTCATTGTATAATAAGGTTTGTTTTGTAGCCAATCAAAAAACAAATACTGCTTGAGGAGGCTAATAATATTGACCTTAAAATGAATTAAAAAAAATTCAAACTGCGTTAATTCAAGCCGAAATAAAACAAACACGACTTTCTCCAGAAGAAAATATTTAAAAAATTGCTCTGTTAAACATCATTTGGGAAATGTTTAAAAGAAATTCACAGGGGGGCTAATAATTCTGACTTCAACCATATATATATATATATATATATATATATATATATATATATATATATATATATATATATGTATCGTTTTAATTTTAGCGATTCCAATTTCGATGATCAAATCCAGCTTATGAAAATTCGTCAAATAATTATAATAATTATAAAATATAAATAATAAAAGGTTTAAGACCCCCCCGGGTACATATTAAAAAATGTTAACAGATTGTGTTGAGCATCAGTTACGTCATTAGCACCTGTCAGCTTTAATTGTGGGGGAACTGGATAATTTTAAGCTTTTGTCAGCTAATTTCATCTTCCGGGTTAAAAATAATTTTTTTTGGAGCGGGATCGAAATCAGTGACGTATTACAAATCTGCTAGTGGAGTGATGATGCGTAGGTTTCTCATTATTATTCATAGCTGAGTTTTCTTATCCTATGAGAAGACCCTGCTTCTTAATAATTCATGAGAGCACGTGCTTTCTGAGGGCAAGGCAGACCTGCCAAGCTGTGAGACCCAATAAGTGGGAGACCCCGTGCACAGCAGGGGTTGTTTGTTTGTTTCCATGATCCACGGATTCCTGTCAGGGCCTATACAGCAAAGCTGTTGATTTGCAGCAAGCATTTTTGTCAAGAGAGCTGTACGAGAATTGGAGAATGGCGGACTTTGTTTTTTATCAGTTGAGTTTGTTACCATTCAGACACATCACCTATCTATTCTGCTGTGTTCACCTAGGTTTAAAATCCTCCAGATTACCAGCAGGGTTAATGGTTAGAATAGACAGGGCAAGAGACCTGCTGCACAGCTATTCACTGTGTCTGCTCATTTATAGTGTTTATATAAACACGATTATCTCTATGATAACAAAACAAATCGTGGTTATGTGTATATGAAATTATGAATAACAATGTAGCAGGACATTAAATTACAGTTTCTTTCTATTTCTTTGCATTTTAACTTTGTAAACTATAAAATCATGCGTCTCCTCATGGTTTGTGTCTCATTTTGTGAGCTAACTGACAACAGTTGTTTGCTCCTCTCTTTTTCCCCTGCTCTGCTGCCTTTTTTTTTTTTTTAATTCTGAGGTACTTAAACTTAAGGAGGGGGGATTCATGGCCATGTACATAAGTAGAACATTTATTATCCTACCTGCCTGAATGTATTTAATAGTGATCACTAAAAAATTATTTTTAGAAAAAATTATTGAATTAAATTAAATTAACCAGTTTTAACTTTTTTTTTTAAAGTTATACAAGATTTTTCAGTTTGTTAAGTCAGTTTGAAGTTTAAAATGAGCTCTAATGGCTCTAAATCTAATAATTCTGACTTTTTCTTGCAATTCTGACCTTTTTCTTTGAAATTCTGAGTTTATATCTCACAATACTGACTTTTCTCAGAATCGCATGATCGTATCTCACAATTATAAAGCAATTACAGATTTATAAGCAAGCTTATCTTGCAATTCTCACTTTATTTTTTGTTTATTAGTTTATATCTTGCAATTCTTACCCAACTTTTCCCAACAGAACTGCAAGATATAAACTTGCAATTGTGGATTTACAGCTTAAAATTGCTAGATATAGTTATTTTTTGGAAAATAAGCCTGAAATACATGTAAAAAAAAAAGTAATGTCTTGTGTTACGTTCATTAACTAGCCTACACTTCCATGTACACCAATGTGACTATTTCCATTAATCAGAGCAAGGACTTTGAAAATTACATACGGTGCCTTTAAGATTTTTATATAGCAATCAAACCTAATCACTCTCATTAACATGCAATTTTACACTGATTATCAGCTAACAAGTGTGGTTATTTTTTCCCACCACTATTCACATCCGCCACAGTACAAATGATAAAATCACCTACATTTGACACGTTACTTCATTCATTCATTCATTTTCCTTCAGGTTAGTCTCTATTTCAGAGGTCTACACAGTGGAATGAATCGCCAACTATCCAAGCATATGTTTTACACAGCGGATGCCGTTCCAACCGCAACCCAGTACTGGTAAACACCCATACACACTCATTCACACACACACTCATAAGCTGCGCCCCAAATCGCATACTTATGCACTATTCGACGCCATTTTGTAGTATAAATAGTGTAAGAAGTGTGTTCACACTGAAAACTCTCAAAATAATAAGTGCACTTTAATTACCCGGATGATGCACTCATTCAGCCGCTAAAATGAAGTGTGTAATGATGGACACTTCGCGCACTCAACGACCGCAGATTTGCTTACGTAGCGGAAGGGGCGGAGCTATCGGACGCACATGTTGAATAACTTTATTTATTTTGGATGGTAAAAGCAAAATTCTCCTACGAGAGTGTCGGGAGTGCCTCCCGATGGTTAATGCGGCAATACTCACGATAGGTATTATTTAATACTTAGGTCGTTTATTTCACTGATTTGGCAACCGTCAAACGTCATCAGGGAAACGTTTTGAATTTCTGCTTAGTAAAAAAACATTAGTCTGCCATTTGGGACGCCACTACATAGATATACTATCCTGTTGAGTGTGTAAGTGCATAAGTAATGTAATGTAATGTAATGTGTATTTATATAGCGCATTTATTGTGTATGTCCATACACCCAAAGCGCTTCACAATCATGAAGGGGGTTTCTTCACACCACCACCAGTGTGCAGCATCCACTTGGATGATGCGACGGCAGCCACAGGACAACGGCGCCAGTGCGCTCACCACACACCAGCTATTGGTGGAGTGGAGAGACAGTGATAGAGCCAATTCGGTGGAAGGGGATGATTGGGAGGCCATGATCGTATGGGCCGATAGAGGGACTTTGGCCAGGACACCGGGGTTACACCCCTGCTCTTTCACGAGAAGTGCCATGGGATTTTTAATGACCACAGAGAGTCAGGACCTCGGTTTAACGTCTCATCCGAAAGACGGCGCCCACTGACAGTGTAGTGTCCCCTTCACTTTTACTGGGGCATTAGGACTCACATAGACCTCAGGTTGAGCGCCCCCTGCTGGCCTCACTAACACCACTTCCAACAGCAACCTAGTGTTCCCTAGTGGCCTCCCATCCAGGTACTAACCAGGCTCAGCCCTGCTTAGCTTCAGTGAGTAACCGGTCTGGGGCTGCAGGGTGATATGGCTGAGTACATAGTGCATGAGTGAATAGTGCCATTTGGGACGCAGCTATACACTTCGGCCAATTTACTTCATCCAATTCACCTATAGTGCATGTCTTTGGACTTTGAGGCACCCAGAGGAAACCCAGACCAACATCGGGAGAACAACGACATGCTACTTCCCACTTTTTATAACGTTCTTATATTGAGAGCAGTAATAAACATTGTATTGCTGTTTTAATTTGTTAACACTGCATCATAATCTTTTAAAGCTGTGCAGCTTGTTGTGTATTTAAAGGGCTTAGAATGACTGTATCTAATGTAAAAAGCCCTTCTGTCGGATCTCACGCTGACCGGAGATGATATCATGCTCATATCATAGAAACCCTACAGGCCTTCAGACGGGTGTTCTCTTGTGCAACCATTCGCCTGTCACAATACATTTTACGATGCATGATTAATAAAACAGGACACATACAGTAAACCCCTCAAGCTAGCGGACGCATTTCTGATGCAAAAGGCCAGGCACACAAAGATCGAACCATTTAATTAATATTTAACGTTTTTGACATTCCTGCCTTATAGAGACAAAATCAAAAGCAGCTTGTTCTGAACAACCACAAAACGTTTTGCTTTTTCTGGAAAAGTCCTAGAAAATGTTCATACGTAGGCATGAGAGAGAAAGAGAGAGAACAACCACGAGATGCCAGAACAATCTGTAGACAACACAACCGTGCTGGTGTTGCGATGCCTTCTGCTAAAATGTAGGACATAATCTGAATAATACTGGCAGGCAAACAGCTGGAATATTGCAGCAGTGTTAATGGAATTTACTGACGTGACAATTAACATCATCCAGGCTGAATACAGCGTTGTGATCCGTGTTGTTGTTGTTGTTGTGATGTTTCTTGTTGGAGCAGCGGCACAACCTGTACTTCATGACCTTGACAGACAAAGAGAACAAATAAATAAATTAATTAAATTGGCTTTAAACAGTACATTTAAAAAAGCTGGCTAGCTTTACTACTCCCCTAAATTTAAAACAGTTGAGTTTTACTATTATTGAATCCTTTCAGCCGATCTCTGGGTCTAGCGGGGGCACTTTTAGCTTAGCTTAGCATAGATAATTGATTCGGATTAGACCATTAGCATTTCACTCAAAAATGACCAAAAGAGTTAAGATTATTTAGCTATTTAAAGCTTGACCCTTTTGTTGTTACATCATGTGGTAAGACTGATGGAAAATGAAAAGTTCAACTCATTTTGAAAACGTAGTCCCGTGTACATATCTGCAGACCGGGAAATACGTAGCCGGAGGTACGTATGGCTGTGTTTCATTTTTTTTAAGCGAACGCTGCAGGGCTGTGTGACGCCATTCCTTTTGGCGCTTGCCGGCCGGCCGCTCACCTCCGTGTGGAGGACTTTCCCACCGCAACAAGTTTGTCCGGTTAGCTCGTTGTGTACGTCGGCGGACTGGAGGCGCAGAGAGGGACTGACCACGATGACGACGACCGGATTCAAGTCCAGGGAAGAGCGGTTCCAGAAATCAGGAAAGAAAATAAAAACAAAATCCAAAAAATAAAGCCAACAAGTAAATTACAGGGTGAGAATGTGGTCAAAATACGAAAACGTGGTAAAGACGTGGTCTTTTCTTTGTCTGGATGGCTTTTGTAAATCGTCGTTGGTTGGGTTTAGGGAGGGACGATCAATCACTCTGTCAGTCAGACAGACAGGCGGAAGGTCTTTTGACGGCGGCCTTTGGTGAGTTTACGCGAGAACAGTGCGTGCACAAACTGCGCTCGCAAGAGACGCTCGAGATGCAAAAAAGCGTGCACAGCGGCCTCTCGCGGATTTGCGAAAACAAAAACAGCAAAAATACATATCTCCCGGGATGTATTTCGCGGTCTCCATAAACATCCACAGGACTACGTTTTCAGAATGAGCCTGGGTTGTAAAAGTTGGTAGGTCGATATGGCTAAACATTCTTGCATAATAATCAAGGAACTTAAAATGCCGTACCACAGCTGCAGCAGACATAATTACAGTGGCAGAAATAAGTATTGAACACGTCACCATTTTTCTCAGAAAACAAATTTCTAAAGGTGCTGTTGACCTGAAATTTTCACCGGATACTGGAAACAATGCAAAAACTCCATATATGCAAAGAAAACAAAACTAACTAGTCTACAAATGAAGTTATATGTACTAAAAAAGAAATGATACAGGGAAAAGTATTGAACATATGAAGAAAGGGAGGTGTAAAAAGGCAGTGAAAGCCCAGACAGCAGCTGAAATCTCTTAGTAGTTTTTCAGCAACCCTCTGCTCTTCCTCAGTATAAATGAATTTTAGCTGCTTCAGTTCAACATCTACATTAGCAGGATGATGAAGATAAAACCAGGGTGGACATTTCAGCAAGACAATGATCCAAAACACAGCCAAGGAAACATCAAATGTCTGAATCAAATCAAATGCTTCCAGAAAATCAAGAAAATTCCAAAGAAAGTCAGGCTGTAGAATGGCCAAGCCAATCACCTGACCTGAATCCAATAGAAAATACCAAATAAAGCTCAGATTAGATAGACGAGACCCACAGAACCATCAAGATGTTTACACTCTGTTGAAGTCTGTGCGAAACTCACACCTGAGAAATACATGTGACTTCATTCTCCATATGTGTTTGGCGTCATGGCATGTTCAATACTGATTTCCCCCGCTGTATATTACACAGTGCCTGAAAATTAGCTAACTTCTGTCAAAATAACAAACTGCTTGCATCCATGGAGAAATTTGTAATTCTGAAAATATTTACTATGATAGCTATGTGATTTTACCATGATCCTGAACGTATCTATTAGAACCAGAATACACGGTTAGCCTCTAAACGAAACATACCTGTAGCTAAGTATTTTTACAATTTACAAAAAAAAAAAAAATAGGTTGACGATTGTCTTTCCAATGAGACCTGGAAGTAATTGTAGTTAAACTACACTCTTTTAATAAACTAATAATTAAAACTCCAATAAAGTTAAATAAAGCCTTACCTCGTAAAGGTAGTCAAACAGTTCCAGAATGGTAAGAATACTGGCTCCAATGAAAAGCCCCATTTGTCCTCCAATATCCCCTACAACACAAACACACACAGACTAAAGTGCTAATGTGTACAAACATTTACAGTGGGTACGGAAAGTATTCAGAAGTATTCAGAACCCCTTTTTAGTCTTTGTTATATTGCAGCCGTTTGCTAAAATTATTTAAGTTCATTTTTTCCTCATTAATAATGTACACACAGCAGCCCATATTAACAGAAAAACACAGAATTATTGACATTTTGCTGATTTATTAAAACAGAAAACCTGAAATATCACATGTTCCTAAGTATTCAAACCCTTTGCTGTGACACTCAAATGTTTTACTCAGGTGCTGTCCATTTCTTCTGATCATATTTCAGATGGTTCTTCTTACACCTTCATTTGAGTCCAGCTGTGTTTGATTATACTTGATTAGGAAAGCCACACACCTGTCTATATAAGACCTCACAGCTCACAATGCTTGTCAGAGAAAATGAGAATCATGAGGTCAAAAGGAACTGCCTGAAAAGCTCAGAGACAGAATTGTGGCGAGGCACAAATCTGGCCTAGGTTACAAAATAATTTCTGCTGCACTTAAGCTTCCTAAGAGCACAGTGGCCTCCATAATCCTGAAATGGAAGACATTTGGAACGCCCAGAATCCTAAAGCTGAGAGTGTGCAAGAACTCAGACTGGGACAAGACTGGGACAAGACAAATGACCCTAAGCACAAAGCTAAAATAAGCTAAAATGTGGTTTCACAACAACTCTGTGACTGTTCTTGAATGGCCTAGCCAGAGCCCTGACCTAAACCCAATTGAGCATCACTAGAGAGACCAAAAAATGGCTGTCCACCAATGTTTACCATCGAACCTGACAGAACTGGAGAAGATCTGCAAGGAGGAATGGCAGAGGATGATTCAGATGATTCTTGATAATTCAGTTTTTCTTTTTTAAGAAATCTGCTAAATTTATTTTTACAATTAACAATTGTGTGTTTTTCTGTCAATATGGGGTGCTGTGTGTTAATGAGGACAAAAATTTACTTCAAGATTTTAGCAAATGGTTGCAATATAACAAAGAGTGAAAAATTAAAGGGGGTTTTTGCTTGATTTAAAGTGAAAATCGGCAAACTCAATCATAACAGTTACCTCAGAGGAATGATTTAAGATTATCATTCATATCTAGAGAACAAATGAAGCTGAATTGGTTTGTAAATGCTAATATTAAGTAACACTCGACTCACCTAACAGACCAGCCACCTCATAGGCTTTCCTCTGCTCGATGGTTTCATAGTTCAGAGCCTCGAAAAACACATCCAGCACCATAACATTCTCACTGACAAAACACACAACACAGATTTTGTCAGTTAAGTACGGCAGATTATCAATTAAAGTGACACATTATCTAACATCCTGTCCTTTTCACCAACACAACACAGTGTAGGCACAAGAATCTGCTCTGTTAATCCACTAAAAGTGCTATAAAATGGATTTATTCAATACGGTAAATTCTTCTCTGATAGACACATGGTAGGTATGTGGCTTAGGTAAATGCAAAAGTAGAAGTAGAATTTGCACCTGAGTGCAAATGTTGAGGATAATGTCAAACTCGAAATGTATTCACAGCCATAGTGCAAGTGTGTTTGTGTTCCTGTGTGTAAGAATACTGTTGTTGTACCGATAGGTCTTAACTGGTGGGTTGTGGTTCAAACATGAGTTGCAGACGTTTTCACTACATTTTTACTTTTACTTTCTGACCAAAATGCCTTGGGTTTACATGTTTTATAACAAAACATAGAGTGGGTAATTTTGGTGCAAATGGAATTTGTTCGCATGATAACAAGACATTATTTATGGCATTATTAAGCTCTTTTGGTCATTCTTTACAATAAGGATTCATTAATAGGGCCAGACAGAATCTGAGGACATCTTTTGCTATTTCTGCAGAGAATATTATAAAAAAATCAGCTGATTTATGGGGAATGATTTTAGGAGTATCATAATTCAAAACTTAATATATGAAATAAAATACTTGTTTTAACTTTTATTTAATGTTTACAATGCAAATCCAATTAGATTCACTCATTTGGTAAACAAAGTAAGTCTCTTATATCATATCTCTACTAAAAGACAGAACTATTACTTAACTGTATTGTAAATAAATCACATATTTTAATATTATTAATATTATATCTCAATAATATTAGAGAAATGAATTTAAAAACTGAATAAATATAAATTTACACAAATTTACAAAGAAATGGATTTATATGATCATTTATAACCTCAGGAATTACATCTAGAATGAAAAGCAAAGTTTTGACCATATTTGGAAGGGTCATGAATATTAATGAGTTCTGCTCTGATGCCCTGCAGCCCATCAATGCTTATTTTCATACTTCTCATAATGCCTATAGACCATTTTGAGGGATGTAAACAAACACAATGGTCCCAACATATTTCCTATTTTACATTTTTCATTTCTGTAACTTTCGAGAATACAAAAAGAGCCACATATTGACAAATAATTTTATGATCGTTGTTTTAACGTCAAGTTATGATTGAATTGCCTCTTGTTACTTTTATGAAATAGTTTGATGACAAGCAGGAAATGTTCATGGACCACTTACATGTCCACATTGAAATGTCTATAAGCAAACTGTCAGGGTTCTGCCACTCGGGTCTAGTAAATTCTTGTTTTGGTGGCAGAGTCCGGACACTAGCTCTGTCTTGTCCTGTATGTTATTTTCTCAGGTCGAGCACTGGTTTTCTGTCATTGTGTGTTTCTCTGTATGAGCGCCGCTTGATGCAGGCGCGCAGGGTCTGTGCGTGCTTGGGACGCGCGCTCTTGTACTTGTGTTTTGTTCTGTCGGCATAGCGCGTTTCATTATCAATGTCTCAGTCTGGTTGGTTTTTGGTTTCGGTTGGCGCTGAGATGAGAGCCCGGTAAGGTGTTTTCATCTATCATGTGCTCGTTTCTTGTGTCTGTTTATGTTGGAGTTGTCTAAGCACGTGGCTGGATGTTTACATTGTGGTCGTGTGCTTTTGTGGTGTGCTTTAGTGTTGTGCTTGTGAACACGCGGTTAATGAGTTCTCTTATTGGCTGCGTGTTCTAGTCTCGTTTTATGTGAGCGCATGGCTTGTGTTGTGTCATGTGCTCTCTCGTCTATTGTCTAGTCTCTCCTTGTTAACCCATCATTAGTTAATTATGTTCATCTGTTTGTGTGTTAGTTTACTTCTGCTTATATTCTCCTCATGTCTGCTGTCCTGTGCGTCATCTATACCCCACTGTGTTCCTGCTCCAGTCCTGTCATGCCAGCCCAGCCAAGTTTGTTTACCCTTTTGTGCTTTTATGTTTTCCCCCCTCAGGGTGGTTTTTGTTGACTTTTTGTTTTGTTTTTATTTAATAAAAGCCATCCTATGTTGCATTTGAGTCCTCACTCCCACTTCCTTCCCGAACAGTGAAATAATCATTATTCCTAACAAATGAGACCAACGGATTTGTATTTAGAGTTGTATTTTGTGGCTTTAACATGTATGAAAACACAGTGAGGAGTTAATATCAACCTCTGCATAAACAAGCAAGTCTACTGAAGTGTATTGGCATTCTTTCAGTCTTGAAAAATGTCAGTAAGAGCTGCGTGATATGACACCATACATAAACACGCAATTAACACTTATATTCAGCAGTTTACATGTGTTTGTTGCCTCATTACAAACAAACTAGGCAAATTCACAATATACACTAACAAAATACATATTTTAAAGATTGTATGCCTTGACGGGCTGGTGCTAAATATTCCTGTGAACCTACACTGGTCTTACGGTTCGGTTCTGATTATCATGCCATCGATTCGGTTCAATTCCATTCAATATCTTGGTGCATCACGGTGCATTGACGATGCTTTCCATAAACAATGTTAAATTGGGGGCTGGGGGGCTGGGGGTGGTGCACTGCTCCCGTGCTTTATTCTGAAATTTTAAATGCAAACCTATATCCAGAAGTATCGCTGTAACAGCCGAGAGGAAAAGAGAAGGGAGGAAAAGTCACGCCAGCAGCCGAGAGAAAAAAGTCATGGAAGAAGGTGAAATGGGCCACAGTGAGTTCACTTTCATTCCCCCAATCACAGAAAAATAGGGGCTTCTGCTGTAAGTGACAGTGAAAGACTGTCCAGAAAGCACACACGCAGTGAAATTGTGCACAGTTTCTGCGTTTTTAAGTAGTTGGCGCCTGGAGTGTTGTAAATACCCACTCTCGCCTCCCTCGCGACAGAGCGCATATGAGAGAAATGATGTTAGTAAATAATAACCGGTTATGATTATTACTGAACTGATACCGAAATGTCCGCGTCTGCATCATGGTGCACCGAAGAAACAATTAATTTTGACACCCAACTAAATATGTTGAATGTTTTACTGAAACAAACTCTTCCTGCCGCTGTTGATTTCAAAATAAGAGTCCGATATATATATACTACATTTAATACAAACTTAAAAAACAAGCCAAGCAAATGAGCATTGTTGTAATCTTACAAGGAAGCATCATAGCCAATCGAACGCAGCCTGAGGAGAGCATTTTAATAATCCCGTGTTCAACATGACAGTCAGTGTTTTGTTCTGATTGGCCTGTTTTTCACCTGTTTCACTGGATTTACACAAGAATAAATAAACAATGGCATTTGAGGCTCAGAGTATGGTCATTTCCATGTACTGAACTATTATTATTCAGCAGAATCTAGGTATATCCAGATTTTCATTCTATGGCACCTTTAGGAAATGTTTGAAACAAGCATCAGTGTAACGGAGAACAGATGTTAAAGCTAAACACTCACGTTATGTATTTCTCGGACTTGCTGTACTTTTTGGCAAGGTATTTGACGGAGGCTTTGCTGGGGATCTTGACAAAGGACAGCTCTTTACTGTAGCGTGTGATGTTGCACGGAGTCTCGCACGAGCAGTAGTCGCTGTCAGTTTCCACCAGGAAATCTGTCAAACAAGAAGAAATAATGAAATTACTGCAGTTCAAACAGTAAAACGGTTGCCTATGGGAAGGGCAAGATGAACACGTGAACACTGTGGTTGCATTGGCATTGGAGTACATTTATGAAATAAAGCTCTACAACTGATTCGATAATAAAATTACTCACCAAGTGCTGGATGTGCACATTCTTTGTAAAGCACAGGGGTGCAGTACGGTGCATCACCTGTGGGGGCAGCAAATGTCTATGCATTATTATTATTATTACGATAGTTTGTCTAGAAATGAAACCTGTATGTAGGTATATTCAGCCTGAATTCACAAGGAAATGTAACTATTTTACATTTTGTCAGTTTAGTGGCTAATTTTTATGAATTCGTAATTCATACAAATTGTTTGAATGAGGTCGTTCAAATACATACGAATTGACCACTAAATTAAAAAGTTACGAATTGCCATGAAATAACGTTGGTCATCCAATATTTGCCATTTTAACAATGTGTGACTGATATAAATCAGCATAAAAATACATTTTAAGAATCCAAATCATTTACTGTGTGTTTAATGCAACTGGAATGCAGATGAAATAACCTATAATTATAGTTTTGATAGCAATAAAACAGTAATAATAAAATATAAAAATAAAATGAATAAAAAATATATAAAATAAAAAAGGATAAAAATTCAATTAAATTCAGTTCAGTTCAGTTCATTTCAGTTAATTAATTAATTAATTCATTCATTCATCCATTCATTTTCTTTTGGGTTAGTCCCTTTCAATTCAGTTCTATTCAATTCAAATGTTATGAATAATAAAATAACAATAAAAATATATATTTTAAGAGTCCAAAACATTGACTTTGTGTTCAATGCAATTAGAATGCAGTTGAAATAACCTTTTAATTAAAGTTTTAATAGCAATAAAAAATAAATAAATAAATAAAAAATAGGAAACTAAAATATAAAAGTAAACTAAAATAAAAAATAAATAAAATAATAATAATATAAATAATAAATAAAATAAAAATTATATTAAATTTTAATGTTATGAGTCATAAAAACTACATTATTAAAAATATATATATTTTAAGATTCCAAAAGACTGACAGTGTGTTCAATGCAAATAGAACGCAGTTGAAATAAACTACAGTTAAAGTTAGAGATTATTAATATAATAAACTAAATTAGAAAATAAAATAGAAATTCAACTAAAATGTTATGAGTTTGTCATAACATTTGAATACATTTTGAACATTTAAAACTGAGTTACATTTTATTTGACATTTTATATAGTATTGTCTGTTTTTGAGCCTTAAAGCAGTTTTATTCTTGATTAAATCTATGATTAATTATAAAAGCAGTTGCTTGTTTTGTTTCTAAATAAATCTGCCGCTTTAAACGAATCATTTAAATAATTTAATACTGAATCAATCATTACTGCAGGGACTTGCCACAACCTACTGGCATATTCATTTATCCATGACAGCACTAAACTAGCGAAGGTACAAACACAAAAGTAAAGAGATTATGTGTGCCTTTCTATTGTGAAACAAAGAAGGAAATGTTTTGACTTTATTGGTGTTGCCGATGCAAAGATGTTATGAGTCTTTAAAATAGGATTTGTATAGAATTGTAGTTATTTTGCTCCAGATGTCATAAACAATTTTTTTGATATGTAAAATAAAAATATTATTGTTTTTTGGTAAACATGATTTGAACACTCACATGGGTTTGGAAGGACGTTTATAGCCAATAGGAAATAAAATATAAATTTTAAATGTAAAAATGTAACTTGGTAACTAACTTAATATGTAACTAAATCTAAACCTGAAATTAAAAATAATGCTGAATTAAAAATAAAAAATAAAAAATAAAAACTAAACGAGAAACAAAAATAAAACTACACAAACAAACAAAAAACATTTAATAAAGAGAAAAAACGCAAAATAAAAATAAAAAACAAAATTAAAACAAAAAAACCTAAATTAAAATGAAAAACTAATTAAAAAAAACATAAAATTTACATGAAAAAACTAAATTAAAATTAAAAAACAAAATTAAAATAAAAACATTAAATTAAAACAATAACAACATAAAATTTAAATAAAAAAATGGTAAATTAAAATTACAAAAACAATTAAAAAACATCAAATTCACATTAAAACAAAATTCTAATTTATTTTGAATTCTAAAACAAATTTAAAATAAAACAAAATTTAAATTAAAAATTAAAATTAAAAATCATAAAATTTTAATTAAAAACATAAAATAAAAAAAAAACATAAACAAAACAAAATTAAAATTCAATTCATTCAAATTCTATAAAATTTAAAGAAAAAAATTACATTCATTCATGCATTTTCTTTTCGGCTTAGTCCATTTATTAATCAGGGGTGAATAAACCGCCAAATTATCCAGTATATGTTTTATGCAGCGGTTCCCCTTCCAGCTGCAACCCATCTTTGAGAAACACCCATAGACTCTCATTCACACACATACACTATTTAGCTTGCCCAATTCATGGTACTGCATTTCTTTGGACTGTGGGGGAAACCGGAGCACCCAGAGGAAACCCACGCCAACACAAGGAGAACATGCAAACTCCACACAGAAATGCCAACTGACCCAGCCGGGACATGAACCAGTGACCTTCTTGCTGTGAGGCAACAGCGCTACCCACTGTGCCATCACGTCGCTCAAGAAAATTACAATTAAAATGACATAAAATGTAAAAAATAAACAAAATATATTAAATAAAAACAATAATATTAACAAATAAAACAATGCTATTTAAACAATTCTAAAATAGCACAGGTTGTCAAATGCATAAGTCACAATATAATAAATATACAATATTTTGCTTGAATGTAATAAAAATAAATAATAAATCAAAATGACAATCCAAATAAGTGAGCAGACACCTCAGTTATTCACACTTTATGTCCTTGCTGAAGATTTAAATTGCCTCGAGTTAAAATCCCACACTAATATATGTTAATTTAGCCTTTTGTAATCAACTAAATTGGTTTTCAGTGCCAGCAGCGTTTTAACAGGAGCAGGTTTAATTTGGTTTCTCTGCCTTGATTAACTTGACCTCAGAGCAGTTTAATCTGTTTTTTAAGGAGGAGATGAGTAAAGTACTTGCTAGTATGTTGGAAATGTTAAGTACAATTATAGTCACCATAATCAAGCATATGCGCGATCATTAGACTTTGGAAATGGTGTAAAAATGAGGATCTGTGGTCCCACTATATAAAAATGATTCAAATAAACTTTTCAAAAATGTAAAAAAAAAAAAAAAACTTAAATAAAATTAAAAATAGTTAGGAAAATACATTTTTGTAACTAAAATGTTTCAGCTACTTGCTGAGAAAATATTTCTCATTTTTATGTGGTTTACCTGGATTTGTCTTTTCTCTGAAGTGGTCTTGAATCTCTGTTATGCAAAGCATTTTTTAACATTCTCTTTCTTATGGTGGAGTCATGAACACTGACCTAAACTGGGGCAAGTGAGGCCTGCAATTATTTTGGATGTTACAGTGGGGCCTTTTGTGACCTACTGGGGTAATTTTGGTCAGCTGGCCACTCCTGGGAAGGTCCTTCACTGTTCCTTGTTTTTGTAGAAAATGGCTCTCTCTGTGGCTTGCTGCAGTCCCAATGCTAAAGAAATGGCTTCCTAACCTTCTCCAGACTGGTAGATCTCAATTTTTTTCTGATTTATTTTTGAATTTCTTTAAGTCTCAGCATGTCTAGCTTTTGAGAATCTTTTGGTCTACTTCACTTGGTCAGGCAGGTGCTATTCAAGTGATTTCTTGATTGCAAACAGGTGTGGTAGTAATCAGGCCTGGGTGTGGCGTGAACAATTGAACTCAGGTGCGATAAATTGGGGAAGAAACACTTTTTCACATAGGGCTAAGTAATTTTGGATTTTGTTTTCCCTCAATTACAAAAAAAAAACTTTTTAAACATTTTAAAAAAGCATAGTATGTTTACTTGTGTTATCTTTGACTAATATTAAAATGTGTTTGATGATCTGAAATATAAATGTGTGACGAACATGCAAAAAACAAGAAACCAGTATGGGGCAAACACATTGGAACCTGCATGGACCCAAGATTCTCACAGAAATCAGTCAAGTTTGGTGAAGGAAAAATCAAGGTTTGGGGTTACATTTAGTATGAGGGTGGCAACATCAACAAGAAGCAGTGCGATATGACTGTATATCCGCACTGGTGGGTGGCGTGCGTTGCCTTAGTGCCCCAACCAGTGCCGATATACAGCCATATCGCACTGCTACGAGTGTGATATTGTGTTTATACAACAGTTTGATGGCATAATAGTGTATATAAAACAAATTCAAATATGGAGAGTCTCAAAAGCCCTTTCGTATGAGGAACTACTTTCTTCCGTGTTGGATTCAAATCCTAACCTCACAGTTAAACAGCTGAGCGTGCACCTTTTAAACTTTAGATCTGTAGTCTCTGCGTTTTGGTGGCTGTATGTTGGCGGAGTAATACACAAAGGGTAAAGAGGCTGTAGGAGTTCTCATATTGCAGAATATCGCACGGCTATCAGCCAATCAGATTTGAGAACCAGACAGAACTGTTGTATAAATATATATATATATTCCAATTAAATTGTTGACTGCATAACGGACATGTAATTATCAGCACAAAATTAACAATAATAAATGTTACTACTTATTCATTTAATTTGATACCATGGCAACATTTCTGTTTAATTTTAGTTTATCTTTCATATCTTATTTTAGCTTTCTAAATAAATTTTTATTCAATAATTCTTCATATTTTTATAGGTGAAAGATAAAACCACCATGTCAACCATATTTTGACATTCGATGAAAATAAACCGTCCTCTTTGCTGTGGAATCCCAGCATAGTAAAATACTCCAGTAGGTGTGGTTGCATAAACTGTATAAAATCTGTATAAACTGTATGAATCTGCGATGTCTTACCAGGCATGTGCACCATGCGGCAGTTGCAGTTCTCCACCAGATATCGAGTCTCGCAGTCGGTTCGGCAGGCGCTGATGCTGTATGCTCTGAAATAATCGGAGCTCGGCGGTGTGGATTTACAGCTCCCCCATGGCGCAGGCAGATACACCAGCTGAAAGACAAACAGCACGACTCAAAAACAAAATAAAGGAAGAAATCCATTTAAAGCGCACATTAACGCCACACCTACTCGCTGCTCTTGGCAGGAAACAAACGTCTGGAATCCTGGAGCGACTCCGAAGCCCAGCTGATCTATAAACGGAGGCTCGTCCTGACTGTGAATCTGGACTTTAATTCCTGCTTCAAATGAAGACTCGTCTGTGACAGAGAAACATATGACCATCAGTCAGAGGACCAATGAGAGAGGAGCATCTCTGCTGTTTTCCTCCTGTGGCCTCACCTGACTCTCCCCAAACAGGTAAATATTCATCCTGCTGAATGTCCAGCATGATCTCCAGGCCGTTCCCCATACCGCCCTTAACGCTGACCCGCGGCGGGCCGGTCTCACCAGAGTTAAAGGTGTAACACTTTCCATAACGTGTGAACACCTGAAAATACACACACACACACAGACACACACAGACAGATTCATTTAATTTAATTGTAGCCTGTTTATTTATTCATTCGTTTTCTTTTCGGCTTAGTCCCTTTATTAATCAGCTGTCGCCACAGCAAAATGAACCGCCAACTTATCCAGCATATGTTTTACGCTGCGGATGTTCTTCCAGCTGCAACCCATTACTGGGAAACACCCATCAAAACACTCATTCACACACACTCATACACTAAGGTCAATTTAGCTTACCCAATTCACCTATAGCACATATCTTTGGACTGTTGGGGAAACCGGAGCATCCGGAGGAAAGCGGTGCCAGCAAGACCTTCTTGTTGTCACGCGCTACCCACTGTGTCAACCCTAATATATATATATATATATATATATATATATATATATATATATATATATATATATATATCGTGTGATATTACGTGTGATATTACTATATGAGTAATATCACACGAGTTGCAGTGCGATATGGCTGTATAACGGCACTGGTAAGAGGCGTGCGCAGGGCGAGTGCCTTAGTGCCCCACCAGTGATGATATACAGCCATATCCCACTGCTACTTGTGTGATATTGTGTTTATACAACAGCTCAATGGCATAATCGTGTATTTTAAAAAGAAAATCAAACACGGAGAGTCTCAAAACCCTTTTGTAAAAGGAACTACCTTCTTCTGCCATTCATTTACATCTGCAGCTGATGTTGCAGAAACAGAAACTGTTGCTACTTCACCAACGGCACTTTAGAGCTAGTATTTGAATGATTCTCTAGCGTAATGTCTAAAGTGATGACAAAACAGGTGATTTTGCTCACATTTTAAGGCTGAACAGCATGAAATGCCATCAGTCTACAGAGATTTCCCAATATTACTATGGTACAAATACAGCTCTACAACATACCAAAGAGATAGATTAACTTAGAAAGTCATTTACCTGTTTAATAATGATTTGATCAGATGTAGTTTGAAATTACGCTGTTTTTCTCTTAGGGCTTATTAAGCGGTCTCTGTCACCATCTTGGGGATGAACATCGTCAACCTTCTTTGCTCAAAGAAAGGTTAATGGCCCTCGACGTGCTGTCTCTCAGAAATTATAGATAATTAAAATAGGCAATATCCTTATAATAAAATAAATAAACTGCATAGTTGACTAAAAAGCCTCAAAAGTACATTATGTTGTCCAACAGCAGGAATATTTGTCAAACTGTAGAGTGTCCTCTGCTTGTTGCTGTATGTGGGCGGAGTAATACACAAAGCTGAAGAGGCTGGACGAGGGCTGTTATTTGCAGAAAAATCGCATGGCTATCAGCCAATCAGATTCAAGATTATTATTATTTTTTTTTTTTATGGTTTCAAAGTTTGAGGTTGGTAAGATTTTTGAAAGAAGTCTTTAATCAATTTATGCAATTAACAAAGTTAATACAGTGTACAGAAACATTAAAAAATAATAATATGAAATATAGCCGACGAGGTGGCACAGTAGGTAGTGCTGTCGCCTCACAGCAAGAAGGTCGCTGGTTTGAGCCTCGGTTGGGTCAGTTGGCATTTCTGTGTGGAGTTTGCATGTTCTCACTGTATTCATGTGCGTTTCCTCTGGGTGTTCCCGTTTTTCCTGCAGTCCAAAGAAATGCGGTACAGGTGAATTGGGTAGGCTAAAATTGTCCGTAGTGTATGAATGTGAATGAGAGTGTATGGATGTGTCCCAGAGATGGGTTGCAGCTGGAAGGGCATCCGCTGCATAAAACATATGCTGGATAAGTTGGCGGTTCATTCCGCTGTGGCAACCCCAGATTAATAAAGGGACTAAGCCGAAAAGAAAATGAATGAATGAATGAATGATGAAATATAATTGTAATGCATATTTTAATGTATTAATTGGCAGTTAATTCTGCTGTTGCAACCCTTGATAAGTGGAGAATAAGCTCAAGGAAAGTGACTGATGAGTGATGTCATTAAAAATGTGCACATTAAAACATAAGGGTAGCACAGTGGCTCAGTTGTAAGCACTGTCGCCTCAGCAAAAAGGCTGCTGGTTCGAGTCCTGGCTGGGCCAGTTGGCATTTCTGTGTGGAGTTTGCATGTTCTCCCCGTGTTGGCATGGGTTTTCTCTGGGTGTTCCAGTTTCCCCCCCAGTCCAAAGACATGCGCTATAGATGAATTGAATAACCTAAATTGGCTGCAGTGTATGAGTGTGTGTGAATGAGTGTGTATGGGTGTTTCCCAATACTGGGTTGCAGCTGGGCATCTGCAGCATAAAATATATGCTGGACTAGTTGGCGGTTCATTCCGCTGTGGCGACCTTTGATAAATAAGGGAAAATGAATGAATGAATGTTCAAAACCAGCAGATCATACTATCTATTTCACATGTCATGCACTTATTGATGTTTATGCTACTGTTATTCAGTGTTATGTGGAGACACTAAGTAAAAATAAGTGCTTTTACTTCCGAATCCTGATGCTACACAGAACAATAACAGCATTTGTTTGTGTGTATATTAATATTTCCATGACATTTAATATTCCAGCCGTACAGAGCAAATAATAAGCACGACACAGTTGCGTCTGATGAGTTTTCATTCAGTTGTGTTTTCCCCTGCTGTCAGAGCAAGACGTGCAGCCGCAGCGAAGTGCTCTGATTGAAATAAGGCAATATTACAAGAGCTCTAACAATTCTTCTGTAGTAAAAAAAGACTCTATTCTTGAAAACTGACATGAGACATAAACAATGCAGGAGCTGGGGAGGAATAAAAAAATGAAAAGTTCATTGTAGACCCGCTGAGAGTTATTAAAGGGAGCAGGTTCCTATGGAAACAGAGACCCGAGTGTGAAAAACATGGAAACACTCGCACACGCACACACACACGTCGTTCTCTGCTGTGTTCTCTTTGATTCCTTAATTAAACATTTAAAATGTTTCAAGACATCTCCCTTTGAGTGCCGCTCCATCTGTCCAAGTGTGCCCAAAACATCTCCGCTGGGTTTCCGTGACCCGTCAGAGCGAATCAATCGGACCTGTCCTGCTGTCCACATCAACGTGCGTTAGTCTGACTGTGTGTATCAATACTGCAAATCCTGACACACACACACACACACGCACACGAACACACACACAAAAGGCTCTGTGTGACATCCACTGAGCCTTAGTGATTCTGCAGAACTGCTCATATTGACATTTACTACATGTGATGTTACACGGTTAAAAAAAATCTGTAAATTAGCAGTTTTCCATATTTTGTGATTGATGTTTTGATTTTTTTTCCTTTTATTTATGATTTTGGATTGCATTATGGCCAATTTTAACCTTAAAAAAAGTGAAAAAGTGACTTATAGACTCATTCTGAAAACGTTGCCCTATATACATTTCTGGAGAACGCGAATTATGTAGTCAGAAGTACGTATGACTGCATTTTATCTTTAAAACAAACGATATGGGGCGGTATGATGCTGTTCCTTTCCTCGCTAGCAGCTGACCGCTTACCTCCATATGGACGGCTTTCACGCTTTTACCAGTTTGCCCAATGGCTCACCATCTACATCGGCAGATTCAAGTCTGCCGAAGAACTGTTCCAGAAAGCAGGTAAGACAAAAACAGAAGCCAAAAAATAAAATGAATAAGTAAATGACAGGGTGAGATTGTGGTAAAATCTAAAAACGTGGTAAAAATCAGGTGAGGGCTTTTCTTTTTCTGGATTGCTTTTGAAAACACTGTCAGTTAGAGAAGCTGGTGGGCGGCCTCTGGTGGATTTACGCAAGAACAAGAACAGCAGGCGAGAATGGCACTCGCGAGAGAAATTTGAGATCTCAAAAAGTGTACACAGCGGCCTCTGGTGGATTTACGTGAGAACAGCAGGCGTGAATGTCACTCAAGAGAAATTTGAGATTTTAAAAAGTGTACACAGCGGCCTCTGGTGGATTTACGCAAAAACAGCAAGCGAGAATGGCACTCGCGAGAGGAATCTGAGGTCTCAAAAAGTGTACAAAGCGACCTCTGGTGAATTTACGTGAGAACAGCAAGAGAGAATAGCACTCGCGAGAGAAATTTGAGATCTCAAAAAGTGTACACAGCGACCTCTGGTGGATTTACGCAAAAACAGCAGGCGAGAATGGTACTCGTGAGAGAAATTTGAGAACTCAAAAAGTGTACACAGCGACCTCTGGTGGATTTACGCAAAAACAGCAGGCGAGAATGGTACTCGCGAGAGAAATTTGAGAACTCAAAAAGTGTACACAGCGACCTCTGGTGGATTTATGCGAGAACAGCAGACGAGAATAGCACCCGCGAGAGAAATTTGAGATCTCAAAAAGTGTACACAGCGGCCTCTGGTGGATTTAAGTGAGAAAATTAGGCGCGAATGGTATTCTCAAGAAAAATTTGAGATCTCAAAAAGTGTACATAGCGGCCTCTGGTGGATTTACGCCAGACAAGCAGGCTCGACTTGTACTCGTGAGAAAAATTTGAGATCTCAAAAAGTGTACACAGCGTGCTCTGGTGGATTTGTGAAAACAAAAACTGCAAAAAATGTAAATCCTGAGACATATGTCACTCTGTCCAGAAATCTATACAGGGGTACGTATCCATAATTAGCCTGAGTTGACCAAAACAGTGACAAAACAAAAATTTTAAAGATATAAACATTCAAAGTTTGCAGTATGTCACTTCCTTAATTTGACGTCACCTCACACTTCAATTTCTCATCCAGTTTTCTGACCAATCAAATGCTCTCTAGAATCTGACATGCCCCGCCCCTTTCAAGGTGCTACTTATTGGCTTTTCATTCAATGTGATTGAGCTCAACCACTCTCACATTTTTGTTCGCTGTGGAGGAGCTACTCTGTGTCCTGCCCTCTCTTAATTTTTCAGTTGAGCTTACTTCACACATCGAACAAAAAGGCACATTTCAAAACACTTCACGACATCTTTAACATGATTACCTAGTCATGACCTTCAAGGCTTTTCATTTGATGCGCTTGAGCTCAACCACT